CTATAAAGATTTTTACTCTAATGGCTGCTACAGAGAGATGGAGAATCTGCATCATCACCTGTGGTTTCTTCTAATCATAAAACATTCAGTCTTTCCGAGAATTTAAAAAGCCACCACTGGTTCCCAGTCAGCATATACAAGCTCTTAATATACTGTTTATTATTAAACAATTCAATGTACTATTTTATATTGGATAATATTGATTCTTAACATTGGCTTTGGAGTCATCAGGAGTCAACATAAAAATTCCAGTTTTCAATAATTTACTTAAAGGTTTTTTTTTTTCCCCCAAATTTTAAAGCCTTCTTAATTTCTACACTTGTTTCTATATTATCAGTGAAAGGGATCAACAGCTAACTTGGGGCAAGTAGTAAAATAAATTTGGTATTTGTCATTAAGACAACTTATGGTAGACATGAATACACAGGTTACAAAATAAAGCCTCTGGTTTAAACTGTTTATAAGACACAGGGCCACACTAAACTACTCAGTGGGATTTATCTATTCATTTCACTTGAAAAAATAAACAGTAACATATTCCAAGAAGAATGTGTGTCCTACCCTGTCTCATGTGATACAATAAATTATATGGTTGAAATATAAAAGAAAGTAAGCATAAAAGTGAAGTAATGTCTTTAAAAAATAATAGACATAATTCCTCACTGGTGAAGCATAAACATTAACTAAAATTCAGATAGATCACCCAGGTTAACAATATGGTTCCTTGACTGTTGAAGTAAATTAAATGATTTCTTTTACTCTGGTTGCCTAAGAGTAAAAAGATTTCTCAAACATATCCAAAAATTTTAAACACATTTGTACCTTTTAATTTAGGAGGTGGTCTTAAAATATATATAAATTTGTTTTTCTCCCTGTCTGTGATTGATACAACCATATTTTAAGGGAAAGCTAAATGATATCCTACAAATAAATGTAGCTCTGACATAAAATTGCACTTTACTAAGAAAGGGGTATAATGCTATTTAACAGAGTATTTTATGTATGACTTTTGCCACTATCCTATAACTTTTTGCTTAGTTTCTTTTCTGTGTTTACTAGGGTTATTTTCTTAATTAAAATAATCCTACTAGGTAACAGATACCACCCAGTATTTATCACAACACATGACTTGTGTTGACTCACAAAAGTGAATTTCTTAAGATAGGGTGTCTTGCTAAAAAAGAGAGAAAACTTTTTTTTTTTAACTTCAAAGCTATGGGACAGGGGGATATTGATTGGAATGCTCCTAATTTAGTTTTTGGGGTCAGGCTTGTTAAATATAATACCATGGTTTTAGAAGTCTGTACTGGGAACATTTTTCAGATACATTTTTTATATTTCAGATGTAATGCAGTGCACTTTTATTTGAACAATAAAAAAATCATCTTTTGAGACCACGCAGGTCTTTTTTTTCCCCCCTTTTTGGAAAGTATGTGGTATGTATAATTGCAGACTACATAAGGTATTTCTTTTCTCTTATTATTCTTTTAAGAAGCAGCTTAACTCTTAGATGTAACAGCTAGGTTAGTTCACACTTTAAATCCCAAAAGAATTAATATCCCAATTACTGTGTAATCTGTTTATACCAATTATTCCATTTTAGAAATGATTTTGTGTACTGGTGCCAAGAGAATTCCCATGGCATGCCTTTTCAACATATATTTCAGCATATAGCAGTATATTCAAAAAAAGTGATTTTAGTATTTATGTGAAAGGTATTTTTCCCTTCTGTTTCCTGTTACTATAAAGTTAAATCAATCTATTAGTAATTGAAAATTACCTTTTTTTTGGTAATTACTATACTTATCTTACAATCATTTTTCTTCTCAAGAAAAAGGAGGTAAATAGTTTACTAATAGTTCCTGTCTTGTTTTTCATGAAAATATTATTCTATTTTTCTCTTGATTAAAATGACCTAATTATACATTTCATAAATATTTTTGCACACTTTATTTTTAAGAACAATACAAAGTGTTAGATTAAACAGATAAATCTGGCATGACATTTAAAGAATGCTAGAACTTTCAAATAACAAATTTTAACTCAGGATTATTTCAGAATGATTCAGAATATCAAAGGAAGACCATTTCACTGTTTTTCGTTACTAACATGGAGATTCAGTATACCAATACTCTGTATTTTTACTTTAGATAAATGTATCTATTCAGATGTCTTTTAATGTTTGGAATATTTACATTATAATTTGTAAATTCTAGATGCTCCTGAATCTTTTTGGAAATACATATATCCCAGATTAAGCAAGTCACAACACTCAGTTAACTGAGAGTATTGTGAATTAACTGCTGTAAATTCCAAATGATTGGAATTTAGGATGAGAGCATCATTAATGCTCTAATATTTAATCTACAGTGGTACACAACTTGATTGCAAAAATACCGTCACTTATATTTTGGATAAGTAAATACAGAGAAAAATGTGTTGCTGTGGCTTTGACATAAATAAGAATTTCTTTATGTGACTATAAAAATATAGGACTAGTATATGGGTCATAAGAGTTTCATATTAGACTTCTACCTTGAAATCAGTTCACACTTCTGAAAAGTAAAAGCCAATATTGTATACTTAGTACTTAAAAGTCAATGATAATTCAAGAGAGTTTTTTTTAATGAGAAAAAAAGCTAATTCTACATTAGGTAACTTTGGTTTTAAAAAGCAATGCATTAATAGGAAAAAGAAATGTGATTCCAAGGGATCACTTTAAGTTGCTCATGAAAATATCCTTTAAAGTTTCTTTTGTTAATGAGAAGGCATATTTGGGAAGAGAGAAATTTAAATGACTGTACATATAGACAGTCTATATATATATAAAATAGCCTGTATTCACATTTTGACGTCCATTCCTGTGTTCAGCACAGTGATGAATAAGAATTTCAGAAACTTCTTTTGTTTTTAAGGAGCTTTAAATGAAATTAAGAAAATAGCTATGTGATGTATAAATAAAAAGACAGGAATAAGTGTAGTTGAACTTTTTAGAAATTTTAAAAATGAACTTTTTAAACTTAATATATCCATTTGCAAAGTATTAGAGTTGACATAATTTCAGTTGGTTTGCCCAATATTTGTATGGTCACTCTGTAGTATACTTTTCAACTCAAAATACTCAGGGTATCACAATGTTACCAGTACATAGTATACACTTTGTATTTGTGTTGTATTTGCATACAATACACTTTGTATTCTCCCTAAATTCTATACCAAGTAGATAGCCAGTCCATTAACCAAATTGTAAACTGTATGTTTTAAGTATATGAAATTAGGTTAAATATTCATAAATTTTATTTAGATCACAATATTCAAACTTAAAGCAGTGGAACATTTTTAAATGAGACTATAATCCGTGACCCCAAAATGTAGCAGAAAAGGTGAACCTACACTCATTGAAGAAGTTCCAGCCCGGACTCCTGAATACAAATCCACAGAAGGAAGTCTTAGGAATTTGAGGAATAGCTTGAAAAATTCTTGATTTAAATTATCTGAATAGTGAATGCATAAACTTGGAGTTTTTATTTTAGGATCTTTTTCCTTTCATTAACTCCTTTTCTCCTACATATCAAAAGGTCACAGTCCTTAGGCTTAAATGACGCTATGGAAAGGCCAACTAATGTTATCAGGTCTCTGCAACGAGAGGAGTGCAGCAGCATAGAAGTTCCTTGGCTCCCTCAACCTTCAGGCCAAGATAATTCCATGTAAAATTCTTTTCCACTTTAAACCAACAGTCACTACCAATAGGTTGCTTGCTTTAACTTGACAAACAGGGAGACAATGATACAGGCTTTTACATTTGGAAAAGAAATTCTATATGCAACATATGTTGGGATGTGTGTGTTAACACATAAAATTTCATGAATGGATTTAATCATGCAATTTGAAGGAAGATCACTTCCTGAACCCAGAGAAAATATATCTGATACCCCTGGGTAGGTGTACAGTGAAGCAAGAACTGTAGCTCCAGTTTGACATTACCCCAATATTGGCCGACACCTTCGTTTTAATCAATAATTTTGTTCCTCAACACAGTTTGGCCTCTAGATCTAGGGATGATCATTATGTTAGGAAATTACATGCCATCCCATTGTGTTCCCAGGAACACAAAGCTAAAAACTAGTCCAGGTACATTTAGCCTGCTCCTTTTAACCAGAAGACACCTGATGTTCTTTCAGTTCAGGCTCCTGAAAGTTTACACTGGATGTTAAGCCGCAATAAAGAAGTCACCGAGCTGCCAGTGATAATTCCCCTTAACTCAGGAGATGGTTCTCTACTCTTAATAAATTTACTGCTCTTTACAATGAAAGATGAAACACTAAAATTGGTTCTGAAAATGCTTATTAGGACAGATAAGTCAATTAAATATTTACACCGCAGACTAAAGTATGCTTCGTGCATAAAGACTTGATTTTAACAACACAGAAACTCACGCCTCTCTCCAAACTGGCATTTCAGCAACGCGTTCGAAATAGATTAAATGTAATCTATCTCAATCCCTAGCGAAAGCAATCGGGGCGCACATAAAGACATGGAGGGCTACCTTCTGATCACATAAAGCACCCACAAAACTTAAACCATGACATGATTAGCTAAGTCAAAAAGAACAGAAAGGTATATGCCGAAGACCGACTTTACAGAACGAGAGCTTCCTGGAGAAAGCCTCACCGGGCCCCGGGCACCAAGCCCCACCCCCAACACTACAATTCCGGTCTAGCCTCGAGGAGCTCCACCACAGCAGCGCGAAAGTTTCGTGTCTGCGCAGTAGGCTTGCTCAGTGCCGCGTGGGAAAGGTGGGCCTTTCCTGCCTCGTGCGTCATCTCTAGTGCGACTCAGTACGTCACTGGCTTGACCGGGAAGGTCAATTGTGGCTACCCGCGGGCTCACGCCCACTTTACGCCGGGGTCGCCGGCGCATGCGCGTAGCGGCCTCGGAGGAGCGGTGCGCGCACCGCTGGTCCGTGAGGCCGGCGTTTCGGGCCCAGCCTCCGCGCAGAGATGCTGTGCCGGCTCAGCGTTAGGTGGCTGCGGCCCCGGCCTCCCCTGCAAGTCCGTGTCCTGGAGCCATCGCTCGCACGGGCCCCCGCGGTCGGCGCCAGTCGCTCCGCTCTGCCAGTGTGGGCGGTGGCATCGGTCTCCGCAGTTGGCCCGAGCGGCGCGGGAGGCTGGTACGAGGCCTTGGCTACGTCGGCGCCGGTACAGGGCGCAGAGGACGTGCTGCTCTTGGCCCACACCGCCTCGGGCCTGCCCTGGTGGGGCAGCATTCTCCTCACCACCGTGGCCCTGCGCGGGGCCGTCACGCTACCCCTGGCCGCCTACCAGCACTACATTCTGGCCAAGGTGAGGGGTGCCGAGCCGCGCGTGGACCGTGCGTACCCACTTCCGTGGTGAGGAGGGTCAGCGTCTCACCCGGGGCTTAAGGTCCCCAGATACTTCCGGAGTATCAGCACCTTTAAGGCAGTAAGCTACTTTACAAAAAAGAATTAACACAGGCAGAAGTAAGTGCAGATTTTTTTATGGCTCTGTAGCTACAAAGAGCATATTAAAGACTTAATAGACTACTGTTTCCTCAGTTTATATTACTGGAAAACCCAGGAATTGAAACATTAAAAGTGTGGAGTGTAGGGTTTATTTAATCCTTAAAATAACCCTGTGAAGTAGGTGCTGTTATACATTTTATATAAGGAACAAGACTAGAGGTTGAATAATTTGCCCAACATCACACTGATAAGTGTATAAGCTGGAATTTTAATTTGATTGCAATTGAGGATATCTTACCAACTTGTGAGCAGTCTTAGAGTTTCTTGACACGAGTAAACCACAGTTTTTTAAATGAGTTTAGGGAATAGAGAGTAAAATTATGAATGGTTATGAATACAGATCTTTAATGTGCTCATAACAAAGTCTGCTTTTTTTTAGCTAGGTGGAAAATTTGCAGCCAGAAATAAAAAACATTGCACAACGTCTTAACCAAGAAGTTGCAGTTCGTGCACATCAGTTGGGATGGTCCAAGAGAGTTGCCAGGTAATTCACTGCATGTAAGACCATGAAAAAATAGATAATGCATGTATGTATTTATTACAGGGTGTGGTATTCTGTAGCTTTAGCAGCAAAGTCGTTCATTTTATTCTTTAATATTTTAAAAGGTTTTTGTGGCATGATAGGTTTATATACTGGACTGAAAGCAAAAAAAAGAGAGAAAGGAGAGTTCCTTGATCTTCAAGGACTCCAGACTACTGAAGAAGACAGATGTGTAATCAAATAATGACTGGATTAAGTAACTGTAAAAAAGATGATGTACGAGGAGTTAGGTCATCATTGGAAGTTAGGGAAGGCTTCACAGGATGCAGATACTGTGCCAGTTTGTTGAGATTTCAGTCAACAAAAGATACAGGTTATTTACAGACTTGATTTTTTGACAGCATAGAGCAGGTGACTGCCCAAAAGAATGCTGAGACAGAAAATATAAATGCCATGATAAAAGCACCTGAGTAGACCAGGGGTTGTTACTTTGATATAGCTATCCTGTGTTGTCGTCTCCCTGAGCTCTTTGAGAGCCCTTGCCCAAGGGTGCTTGACCATGTTCTATGTGGGCAGCCATCCCCTAAGAACTTTTAAGTCTTCCTTCTCCTATCAGCCTGCCCTACTTCTGCTTAATTAGGTTCCCAAATTCTGATTCTTACTAGACTGTGACAAAGTGTTCAGCAGCTCACAGCAATGAGAAAAATAAGGGTTTCTTAGTATAAATATATAATGTGTATATATATGGGTATATGTGTGTTAGTCAGTCAGTCATGTCCAACTCTTTGTGACCCCAGAGACTAACCCACCAGGCTCCTCTGTCCCTGGGATTCTCCAGGTAAGAATACTAGAGTGGATTGCCAGTTCCTTCTCTAGGAGATCTTCCCCACCCAGGGATCAAACCTAGGTCTCCCACATTGCAGGCAGATTCTTTACCATTTGAGCCACCAGGGAAGGCCCTATCCATATATTTTTATCTATATAGGTATAAATTTGCCAGCTATCTTCAATATGAAATCAAGTCCCTCTTTATATAGTGTTAAAAGGACCTGCCATTTTTTAAAAATCATTCTTATAGCTTAATGTCTTTACTTGATAAAAAGTTGATAAACCTATAATTCTGAAGTTTTACTGATCACGGAAGTCTGAGGGCTACAGCTGTAGCCCCGAAGAACACGTTAGAGCTGCTCAGGTGGGTTACAGATGCAGCCTAGATAAGACACTGCCACCGTACTTAAGGCAGCCCTGGCGCGATGATTGTCCAGACGCATCCCCACACTGATGAATGACTTTCTAGAGAAAGACATCATCTGAGGGTTTCCTGCATTGTCAGTGGAACCGTGTTTTGAAGAATGAAAGGGAATTTGTCAGGTGAACAGCCAGCCAGGAAAGTGGACAGTCTGCAAAGATGATATAATAACTTACAAGGCATACTGATGTGAAAGTCTGAGTTGTTGGATGACCCAGGTCATTCAAGGGGCCAGAAAAAGAGTAACAGGAAATAAAGTTGAGAAAGTGGGCGAAGACTGAATTACAAGGAGCCTGGAATGTCTCTGTGTACTGTCTTAGTTCAGTGTGTTATAATTTGATTAAATTCCGCAAACCTATTGAAAACCTACCTTGTACAAAACATGCCACAAGTGATTTAAAGATGAAGACCCATCCAATACTGTAGTATAGAAAGTGGGACTTAAGAACAGAAGTTTAAAAAAAAAAAAACAGGAGTGACTAATACGGTTAACAGAGAAACAGAAAATCTTTATGAAAGAATTGATTGAAGAATGGAGACTGTTTTGACAGGTCAAGAGCATACATAGGACAAAACCACATTGCTCTGAAAGGTATGTTCAGAGATGAGGTGATTGAGTTTGGCTGGAGTGGATAAATTTGAGTAAAATGTGCTTTCACCTCTAGTATTTCTGATTTAAATTCTGGTCATACCATGTTAGTAGTGAAATTTCCCTTGCAAAAGCCTAGTTTGCCTAAGACCTCCAAAAACAAAGCCTGTAGTTTGACAGCATCACATTTCTCAAATTGTAATTTGCTTACATTGTGAACAAACTTTGAGTAAAAGGCTTTATTTTCCTTTTTTTCAGGCAGCCACTTGGTGTAGCTTAGAGGCTTCCCTTAAGCTCAGTTGATGAAAGAGATCAGTCTGCAATGCAGGAGATCCCCGGTTTGATTACTGGGTTGGGAAGATCTGCTGGAGAAGGGATAGGCTACCAACTACAGTATTCTTGGGCTTCCCTGGTGGCTTAGCTGATAAAGAATCTGTGTGCAATGCAGGAGATCTGGGTTCTATCCCTGGGTTGGGAAGATCCCCTGGAGAAGGGGAAGAATACCCAGTCCAGTATTCTGGCCTGGAGAATTCCATGGAGTATGTAGTCCATGGGGTTGCAGAGTCAGACACTACTGAGCGACTCTCACTTCACTTTGGTGTAGCTTATGACAACCAAAAATCCTGCATAAATCCTTTAGCCAGTAACCACAGCGTGGGTGTGTTTATCCTGTAGGGATGAAGCACAACTAGTATTCACATGATATTTTCTCCTTTCCCTTTTTCCCTCTTCCCTCAAACTAGGCTCACTTACCTAAAGACTATGCGGAGGCTTGTTTCAGAGCTCTATGTTCGGGATAACTGCCACCCCTTCAAAGCAACTGTGCTGGTCTGGATTCAGCTTCCAATGTGGATCTTCATGTCTGTCGCTCTCCGAAATTTTAGCACAGGGGCAGCACACTCAGAAGGTAGTTACTATTGAAATATAATTCCCCCAAGCAAGTTCTCTAACACTGTCTTATATTCTAAAGAAAAAGCAAAACTAAAAAACATCCATACTTTCTGTAACTGGAATACATTTTTATCATCTCCCTTACACAGGTATAGAATTTCAAATATTAAGTGTGACCAAACTAGCCGTATTGAGAATACAAATCAGTTTAGGAAGGATGTCACTAGTACTACTTCTTGGAAGTCTTGATAAAATTAGTGTTATAATTCCATAATATGGTTTCAGGGCCATGAATTTTTTCTATTTATAAATTTAAGAAGCCAGAAAAACTTTCACAGTTATAAGTGTAAGTATTAATACGAAAGGTTACAAACTAAGGGACTTGTTTTTACTTTCATTTAAAGGCATTTTTAACCATAAAGTAATCTAAATTGACTTGAAAGAAAGCAGCCTGTAGACAAGTAATTTTTTAAATTTCAGTCTGTAAAGGTTACTGCTACATGTCTGTAAGTGTCTCCACATCCATTTGCTCCAGAAACTTCTTACCTCTTTCTCAGTACAAGAAATAACTTATGTTGTGGAGTGAAAATAACCTGAATAAAAAATGCAAGTCTTCAGTGTGAGGAACACCTTACTGGAATCACTTCCCTCTGCTATTTTTAGAAATTCTTTTGTTTTATTTATAAAAATGTTTCAGCAGGTTTTTCTGTTCAGGAGCAGTTAACTACCGGTGGGGTCCTGTGGTTTCATGACCTCACTGCTCTGGATTCCACTTGGATTCTGCCTGTTTCCGTTGGTGTCATCAATTTATTAATAGTGGAGGTCAGTGGTTTTAAATAAGATTTGCTTGCCATTTAAATCATTGAGTTTTTTGTTGCTGTCCTGACATCAGATATAAATGAATTGGAGTTACTGGAGACTCCTTGTTTTTTTGTTTTTTTAATATATTTAACTGCACTAGGTCTTAGTTGTGACATGTAGGAACTTTGAGTTGTGGCATGTTGGATCTAGTTCCCTGACCAGGGATCGAACCTGGGCCGCCTGCATAGTGGGCGCAGAGTCTTAGCTAGTCATGAGACCCCTTGGTTTTGGTCTCAGATCAGCTGTTGATTAATTTTCTGGCGCCAGTTCCTTAACCTCTCTGGGGGGTCAGAATGCTCATAATTTAAAATAAGAGAGCTGAATTGGAACAGTTCCAAAATCTCCTTCAACTGTAAAGTGGTTCGATGCTAGTACATAACAGTTTCGTGATTCGCTTTTTGGTAGAGGCAGCGATTAAGATGTCAATATGGTCTTATTCCCACAATATGTTGATGTTTTGTGTGTATGTTTAATATGTCAGTTAAACATACCTGACTGCCATTTTTAGTCATAGAATTTCTTCATAAAATGGAATGGAGAAACATATATATAAAATACGACCCCTTAGCCATATCTTACCATCAGCTCATGCTACTTTACCCAACTTGAGTTTAGGGGAAACTTGTCTTTAGTTCCATAAAGAATTGTTCTTAGACTCTTGAGAAAATCGTAGACCCTTTAACTGGAAGAAATCTTAGGAAAGATCTAATGCAGTTGAGATTTCACAGACCTCATATCTGCTGATTGCTGTTTGGTAAATCTTATACACCCCTTATTTTTTGAAATAAGATGAGAAATAGGAAGATTCTCTGAGGTCTTAGAGAGAAAAGACCTGAGGAAAGACTCTGTGTGTAGTCTTAAGTGTGCTACCCTAAGAGCATCTAGCATAGTTCTGTGAACTTGGTTAGTAATTAGTATTTCTTAGGAAGAAGGAAGTGATGAACAGGGTCACAATGAATTAATGTCGGTCTTCTCATCTTTCTTTTATTCCATCTAACAACCCAGCATGCATAAATTTAATAAAAGCCTATTCTTGCTTAACATTTACTATGTACCAGGCACTATTGTGAGCAATTCACATGAATTAACTCATTTAATTCTTAACAATAGTCCTATGATGTAGGTGCTGTTATTATCCCCATCTTAAGGTGGAGAATGGTAGTCACAGAAAGGTGAAGTAACTTGCCCAAAGTCACCTAACCACTAAATGCGGACTGCCATGTGAATCTCGTAATTTGGGTGTAGAATTGCAGAATCCATGCTCATAATCATTAAGCTAAGCTGCCTTGTAAGTAATTCATAAACCATAACTCCTCTTCCTTGCCTTCTTAGTTCTTTTCCGTGGTCCATGTAACCAGATCACAAACCTTTCAGATCCTTGTTAAGTTCTTGCTCTATGCCAGGCCCTGTATTTAGGTGCTGAAAAACAAGGGTAATGATTCATACATAATACCTGTCTTGAATGGACTTCAGCTTTACAATCTTTAAAAAACATTGATCTATAAAAATTATGCTTTGATCCTATTTAATATAGATGAATCTCTTTATTGTTGTTACTTAGTTCCATTTAAGAATTTTGCATAATAATTACCACATTTTTTAAAAGATAGTTGATCAACCAATGATAGTTGACCAACAAATCAGTGTTTTGTTTTTTTATTTTTATTGCTTTTATTAAAATATAGGTAGAGGCCAGTCAAAGATCACTTTGCATTTTAAAGCTTTTCTCCTTTAATGTGTATTTAGCTAATCAGCATGTGTGTGTATATTTTACCCCTTCAGATTTTTGCTCTGCAGAAACTTGGAAAGGCTCGTTTTCAGAAGTATGTTACGTACTTTGTTCGTGCAGTGTCAGTGTTGATGATTCCAATCGCAGCAACAGTACCTTCAGTGAGTAAGCACCAGCGTTGTGTGAAGCGTGAGCTAAATATAAATTCTCTGTTTTTAGCTTAGACTGACTGACGTGCCTCTTCTGTTGTGCTTCCTCTGACTACTTAGTCCCGTACTGGTTTCTGATTTCTGTAATAACAAATCTACTGACTCTGTCACCAGGTGACATCTGAATATTTCTTGGGCTTGGTTAATCTTCCTTTATGTGAGTTTTTCTTACCCCTCCATTTTCCTCTTTTTTTTTTTTTTTAATCTTGCAGAGTACTATGAACAGTACTATGAATGTAGCATTTGCTCTGTTTGATTAGTTGATGTATTGAATTCTTTTTGTCTTCACAGAGGGATCCAAGGAATTTAGCATTTAAAAAAGAAACAAAAATTTTTCCCCACCAAGGGTCCACATGGGTTGGTTCATATGTAATATTATTTGATCTCATAGAAATTTTATGAGATAGGTATACTTGCCCCCATTTATATGTAATTAAACTTTTATAGAAATAGAAAAATAATGTTATATTTGCAGTTATTTCATTTTTTAGCCTTTTGCTTCTTTTTCATGGATACTTTAGTGCTAAGATGGGTAAAGCTGTATCAGTATATCTGTCTTTGCTCAGAATCAACACAGAGACCATAAAGTAGTAGTCATTTGTTCCTGGTGGTTCAAGTTCTGTCCCTTGTATAAAAGTACTTCATAGGACTTGTCTTAGAAATCTGAAATAGTATGTTTTCAGCATTAAAAATGTCTGTTAAATACTTTTTATCTGTCACTTAGACATAGTACTGTCATTAATCCTGTGTAAAATAAGTTTCCTCATTTCTAAAATAGACACCATAATGTCTATGAAAATTAATGAAATAACAAGTGCCTGTTATAGTACTTCTCATATAATAATAATGTTATAAAATACTCTGTAAAAACATAATAATGCAAATTCACTACATTTCTAAGGAGAAATAATACCAGTTACAACTGAGGAAACCCCCAGATCAAGTCAAGTAGCAGTAAAGTTCTAATGAAAAGTTGGGTTCCAAGTGAGTAACAGAGACCAAAAAAACAATGTCTTAAATATCCAAAAGTGGATCCTTTCATATATAGGAAAGTCAGAATTAGGCAACTTAATGTAACAGCTCTGCGAAGACATGAGAAAAACAGCTCTTTGACCTAAATAACTGGATCTCAGTGGTGGTAGAAAAGAAAGTAGAGGGTTGGGCTGAGACACTTTGTCTCAGGAAAAGGCAAAGACAATCTATTCCTGACTACACTTAGAAACTAGTTCCTGGGAAAATCTGGAAGATAGGTGACTGTGTATAGGTGTAGGGAAGCTATGTTTGCCGTCATAAATGGCCATGCCGCCAGCAGTCTGCCTGCTGGGTAGCTGTTTGTCGAGACTCCTGGTGGGGAAACAGTATGCTTAATTGCCAAAGAAGGAAATGAGACCTCTCTTGGACCTCTGCCTGGGAGCAGTTCTCTGCCATCCACTTTGTGTCACCAATACCTCTCCTTTTGGTTTCTTTTCATTTTGGGGGTCTTCCTTTCAACTTTCCTACCTATCTGTTAGATCTGACCCAGGTGTCTATTAGTACTGAAGGTCTTGCTCAGTCCTGGTGCTGGGTTTACAGAGCTGGTTGATTGTCTTTCTTCCTGCCTGCCTGTCTCCAGACCTTGGAGAACGGAGAGACGCTGACATTGTGTCCTTTCTTTTCGTCGCAGTCCATCGTCCTGTACTGGCTCTGCTCCAGCTTCATGGGCCTGTCACAGAGCTTGCTGCTCCGCTCTCCTCGGTTCCGCCAGCTCTGCAGGATCCCGCTGACCAAGTTAGATTCAGACACTCCTTACAAGGACCTCCTGGCTGCCTGTCACTCCAAGTTCATTTCAAGAAAGTCACATACTTCCTAGTGGTTTTTGAAACAATTACAGGTTTCACTGTTAATGTATTTAGAAGATTTAGAACTTCAGATATGATTTAATGTGCTTTTGTTTAAAATCATGAGCTCTGTGAAGTATTGTGGATTAAGATACAATCCAGATATATATAACAATACTTAAAATCTTTTACATTCTGAACATGCAGTATATTTAATTGTATGCTAAGACTGTAAAAGTGGAATCAAAGTGTCAGGCCCTGTTTATAAAATTACAACTTGCTAGAGGTTCCAGAACTTTAAAGCCATGGTTTTCTCTTCAGAAAAGTCCTTGAAACACAAATGGAGGCCTTTATTGAGCCCCCCTCCCAACTCCTGAAGGCCTTCTGGTGATTCCTGGTTAATAATTCCATTCTAATGGAACAAGTTAATGTATGATTTTAAGATGCAAGGGACTTGAGATACATGCTGTGGAGTAGTCCACACATGTAAGAAAGTACCTAACATGGTAGGTGGTGTTGCTTTTCAACTGTGCTCTGAAAGAATATAAAAAATGTACATTCCTGTCTCTATTAAAGAAGTCTGCAATACAGGGTATAGCGCTGAGTACTGCTGGAACCCAAAGTAGAAAATCTTAAGCTAATCATATAGAATATGAAGGGACTCAGTATCTCTGATAACCTGTTAAGTAAGTAGAAATTTTGTATTAGGGTCAAGATAATGCTAGTCAGGAGATTTCTTTAGACCTGTATGTCTTGATGTGATAATACATAACATTAAGTTGGTCTGAGAATATCATAGATTACCAAATTCATAATTTCATAGCTTAAAAATGAGCCAAATTTTAAAAGCTTGATCAGTATAGTATTTATCAAGTTTTAATAATAATTAACTGAATACATGAAAATACATTAGTTTCAATGTTCAGTTAGTCAGTTCAGTTGCTCAGTTGTGTCTGACTTTTTGTGACCCCATGAACCAGGCCTCCCTGTCAATCACCATATCCTAGAGTCCACCCAGAGCCATGTCCATCGAGTCAGTGATGCCATCCAACCATCTCATCTTCTATCATCCCGTTATGTTACTAGAAGTTAAACAGTACGTGAAGAATTAGCTTATTCAGCCAGAAAGCATGCATCTGAACAGCATGTCTTCAGTCACTAGAGAGGTAATCGTTGATCACATGATTGTGAAATAGGATTATTTTGCAGAATTCTGGAGATGGAGTTGTTTGAGTCTTTTCTGTAATCTCAAAGTACAGTAGACCCTTGTCTGTTGTGGGCCCAAAGCCACAACCATTAAAAGCTTTGAACTGTCAGCAGCTGGAATCCCAACAAACTGCTGGATCAAACTTCACTAGCTAAGAACTTACATAGCCATGGGAAGGAATGATTCCATGATTCCTGTACATAATAACTGGCCTGCCGTCATTTGTGGAATACAGTCTAAAAGTAAAAAGGACTGTTAAAAATCTTTGAACTTTATTTGGTAATTGTATGGCCCTTGTGAGTATTGTGTTTCTGTTTTGGAACTCTTATTCTCAGATGAAGTAAAATGATATTTACTGGTATATTTGTTTTCTGTGGATGCTGTTAACAAAATCTTCGTGCTGCTTATGCATCAAGAGGAAGATGCTGTTGAATATATTGGATATTATATATCTCTTTCAGATTTTTCTTTTAAGGGATAGATTTAGGGATTGCCCTTGAAAAAGAAATAGGTCCTGCAAGAGCGTCCTCCCCGCAGTTCACCACTGCTGCACTCAGCGTAGCCTTCATGTCTGTTTCACCTCAGACTTCCCATAACTCAGGTAAGAATCGGCGAAAGTCTTGTTTTAGAGCAAAATAAAAGCTTACAGTTTCTCCTTACCCCTTTGGGCTTCCTCCCTCCCCCTTAGCCTATATTGTGCATCTGCATAAACCAGAGCTCCTTAGGAGATGACATTCCATCTTAATCTCATCAGTGGACACAAGGAGATACACTTCCTTCTTTTTTAAATTTTGTTTTGGTTTTGTGCATTAAAAATTTTGGTTAGTACTCAGTCAGAAAGCCCACACACAAACAAATCCTCCCACACTCCTCCTCGTAAGGGACTGTGATAACCTGTGACCCACTATTCCTGTGGGTCTGGATTGTGTAAACTCTAAATAGGATAAACAGTGTCATACTATCATTTGACATAAACCCAAAAGGCTTTCCCAGTAGTTCAGTGGTAAAGAATCCACCTGCCAATGCAGGAGACCCAGGTTTGATCCCTGGGTTTGTACAGTACAAGGGGATACAACCCACTCCAGTATTCTTGCCTTGGGAACCCCATGGACAGAGAAGCCTGGCAGGCTACAGTCGACGAGGTCACAGAGTCAAACAACTGAGCGATTGATTACCCGCCACCAGTCCTCATCTTTGCCCCCAAAACTTAGGGTGCGTTGACCTAATTGGCAGAACAGTCCCCAGAGCTTTCTGATTGTCTCCCAGATTATAATCCTCAAATTGGCTTGAATAAAGTTTCCCATCTTTTTTTTTAGACTGTTAATTTTTTCTGTTGGCAAAGCTGTATTTTAATCGTGGTTGATTTCCTGTCCATAGGAAGTGCAAAACCTAGCAGTTACCACAAGAAAGAAAAATTACCAGCTGAGGAATGGCAGCAGAAGGTTAAATAGAGGGAACTCTTTCACACTGAGGCCTTGCCTAGTTCTTAAAACAGTAGCTTTTTGCTTTGCTGCCCCTTGAACATGAGGGAAATGCACAGCTGTCCCAAAGGAATATATAACAAACCTCTGTTCTTTGTCCTCTACCATGACTGCCTCTTGACTACCCAGTTTTTACATAACTTTTGCAAGACCGTCTAATTGACTCGGCCTATCCTGCTGATTTTGTTCTATAAAATGAGGACTCCGGGGTGTTTGAGAACAAAAACATTGATGGAAAGACCTAAAATAAAAATAAATGCTTCAGGAAAGCACCCAGTCTTATTGAGTTGTTCTAAGGCAACAACAACAACAACAAATTTCTGTCCTTGAAGATCCCTGCTAAACCCCAGAGGGCCAAGCATGACATGACAAGCCTCTAGGGACCATTTTGAGGAGACTTCAGTGGGCATGCTTTTCCTCTTGTATCCCTGATAAGGTGATTTTATTTGTTTTTCTTTAGTTGAGAAGGCAGCATTATATTTAGCTTTGGTTTTTTTCTTCTGCCTAAGTTGTAGCTCTCCAGGAAAACTTAAAACTGGAGTATAAAATAGACCGAACTATATCCCTTACATTGCAGCTGCATTTCTGCATGTTTCAACAGTGGTATAATTAATAATTTGAGGAATTTCTTCTAGTTATAACCTTAAACTTCCTGGATTTTCTGAGGGTAAAGAGTATTTAAAATATCAATTCTGTATCTACGTAAGAATTAACAGCTTCTTATTTCATGCTATTCAAAATGTATCCCATGCATTGCTACACTTGGAAAAACTGAAATTCCATTATAGAAGCTTCAGTTATGCTTGTATCAGGCTTCAAATACAGACGTTCCATTTTGGGATCCAGATAAAAACTAGAAATTCCCATGTAAAATTATAGTCACGGGTTAAATGTCAAGTCCTAGTAAAAGGTAGTGAGTGCTTGTAAAATAAACAGTTAAAGTCACAGGACTTCCTTGGCAGTCCAGTGATTAAGATTCTGGATTTCCAATGCAGAGGGAGTGGGTTCAGTCCCAGGATGGGGAACTCAGATTCCATGTGCTGCATGATGGCCAAAATAAGATAAAAGCCACAACCAAGTAGAGATTTTGAAATGAAATATGTTCTCCCTTATCTTTGTTGTTGAGTCACTCAGTTTTATGTGGACTCTTTGCAACCCCATGGACTGCAGCACGCCAGGCTTCCCTGTCCTTCACCAACTCCCGGAGCTTGCTCAAAATCCTGTCCATTGAATTGGTGATGCCATCCAACCATCTCATCCTCCGTTGTCCCCTTCTCCTCCTGCCTTCAATCTTTCCCAGTATCAGGGTCTTTTCCAGTGAGTCATTTCTTCTAATTAAATGCCAAAGTATAGGAGCTTCAGCGACAGTCCTTCCAATGAATATTCAAGACTGATTTCCTTTAGGATTGACTAGTGGGATCTCCTTGCAGTCCAAGGGACTCTCAGGAGTCTTCTCCAACACCACAGTTCAAAAGCCTCTATTCTTCAGCGTTCAGCTTTATGGGCCAACTCTCACATCCATACATGACTACTGGAAAAACCATAGCTTTGACCAGAAAGAACTTTGTCGGCCAAATGATGTCTATGCTTTTTAACATGCTGTCTAGGTTGGTCATAGCTTTTCTTGCGAGGAGCAAGCGTCTTTTAATTTCATAGCTGCAGTCACCGTCTGCAGTGATTTTGGAGTCCCCCAAAAAAGTCTCAGTGTTTCCAGTATTTCCCCATCTATTTGCCATGAAGTGATGAAACCAGATGTCATGATCTTAGTTTTCTGAATGTTGAGTTTTAAGCCTACATTTTCACTTTCCTCTTTCATTTTCATCAAGAGGCTCTTTAGTTCTTCTTCACTTTCTGCCATAAGGGTGGTATCATCTGCGTGAAAGTGAAGTCGCTCAGCCCTGTCCCAGGCTCCTCTGTCCATGGGGTTTTCCAGGCAAGAGTACTGGAGTGAGTTGCCATTTCCTTCTCCAGGGGGTCTTCCCAAACCAGGGATCAAACCCAGGTCTCCTGCATTGCAGGTAGGTGCTTTACCGTCTGAGCCACAAGGGAAGCGTGTCTGAGGTTATTGATATTTCTCCCAGCATCTTGATTCCTGCTCGTGTTTCATCTAGTCCAGCATTTCTCATGATGTACTCTGCGTGTAAGTTAAGTAAGCAGGGTGACAATATACAATCTTGACGTACTCCTTTCCCGATTTGGAACCAGTCTGTTGTTCCATGTACAGTTCTAACTGTTGCTTCCTGACCTATATACAGATTTCTCAAGAGGCAGGTCAGGTGGTCTGGTATTCCCATCTCTTTCAGAATTTTCCAGTTTGTTGTGATCCACACAGTCAAAGGCTTTGGCATAGTCAATAAAGCAGAAGTAGATGTTTTTCTGGAACTGTCTTGCTTTTTCGATGGTCCAATGGATGTTGGCAATTTGATCTCTGGTTCCTCTGCCTTTTATAAATCCCGCTTGAACATCTGGAAGTTCATAGTTCACGTACTATTGAAACCTGGCTTGGAGAATTCTGAGCATTAACTTTGCTAGCATGTGAGATGAGTGCAATTGTGCGGTAGTTTGAACATTCTTTGGCATTGCCTTTCTTTGGGATTGGAATGAAAACTGGCATTTTCTAGTCCTTTGTCCACTGCTGAGTTTTCCAAATTTACTGGCATATTGAATGCAGCACTTTAACAGCATCATCTTTTAGGATTTGAAATAGGTCAACTGGTATTGCATCACCTCCACTAGCTTTGTTCATACTCATGCCTCCTAAGGCCCACTTGACTTCACATTCCAGGATGTCTGACTCTAGGTGAGTGTGAGTGATCACACCATCGTGATTATCTGGGTCATGAAGATCTTTTTTGTACAGTTCTTCTGTGTATTCTTGCCTCTGTTAGGTCCATACCATTTCTGTTCTTTATTGAGCCCATCTTTGCATGAAATGTTCCTTTGTTATCAAAATTTTCTTGAGGAGATCTCTAGTCTTTCCAATTCTGTTGTTTTCTTCAGTTTCTTTGCATTGATCACTGAGGAAGTCTTTCTTATCTTTCCTTGCTATTCTTTGGAACTCTGCATTCAAATGGGAATATCTTTCCTTTTCTTTGCCTTTAGCTTCATTACTGTCATTACCCGTACCATAGTTTGACCTGAGGCCAAGCAACAGAACAGGTTCTGGGGTCTAGTTCTCACCTAATTGGTGTGTAGTTACCCCTTTCAGCTGGGTGAGGGCCTTAGTTCCTTCAGGACTTGAAAGGTATGTATCAGATTGTCATGTATGTCCCTAGAGGAAGAACTGGGACTCTGTTTTACCTTTGAACTGTTTGATTCCTGACTGCTTTTCCTTTGTTCCTGCGTTCCCTTATGATAGTTGATGACCTGTTCAACGGCAAGCACTATAGGCAGGCTTAGATCACAGAACAGCTTAGGTCACAGATGGCTTCTCTTAAGTTGGGACAGACGTGCCTGGGTCACCCCCCACCATATCTGCTTGCAGAGTCAGTACAGATGACACAGTCCCACAAGATTGCCCCTTCCCTCACTTCAGCACCAATCTCGGGTACTACCTACAACTTCAGCCCAACTAGGTTGCAAATCTGTGGTTCTCGTAACCCCTTCCTTGGGTTTGATGATTGGCTAGGACCGCTCACAAAACTCAGGAGAGCATTTTACTGACTATTATCTATCTATATTAAACGATGCAATTCAAGAACAGCTATATGAAAGGACTGCAAGGGTCAGTGTGTGTAGGGCTGAGAACACAGAACTCCCATGCTCTGGAGGCTTCATTATGTAGGCATGATGAATACATCATTGGTCAGAGGTGATTGCATTCAGTCTCCAGCCCTTCTCCTCACATGGGAGGTTAAGGGATGGGGCTGAAAATTTCAAC